TTTAGGGTTGCGGGTTTAGGGCGTAGGGATGTTCTAGAAAGCTGGGGCGGGGGGGGGGGTGTCTAGCCGGAGTGTGCGTGCTGAGGGCAGTCCTTCGTCTTGCCACAGCAGTCGATGTACGCCTTGCTTGGCGGCATGGCCTTTCTGATGAGGCCTTCGGCAAGTCGATGCTTGTCGAAAGGGTGGTCCGGGCCCGAGGGCGGCTGGGGCGGGTAGATCTCTTCCACCTTCAGCGGTAGGATCTCCACATTATGCTGGAGGGCAAAAGTGAGCTCGGCGCTGGTGGGGTAAGGACCAGCCATCTCCCCATAGTCCGCTGTGCAGACTGCGAGCATCACGCCCCTTTTCGCCTTCAGCATTTGGAAATATCTGAGCTTCTCAGGGGACTCTGCGTCTACCCCGAGAATTCTTATACAGCGTCCACGCAGCAGCTCGGGCACATCTCGAAAAAGCCTTTCGATGCCTTTGTTTCTTGCATTCCATCGCGCAGAGAACATGGCAATCGGAACCTGCGGCAGGAAGTGGAGCGTTTGCAGACGCGCGTATTTTTTGCCCGCCAACCGTTTCAATCCCAACCACCCTGGAGCCCGAACAAAGACAGAAGCGTACCCAGAGAGCCCCATACCCCTTAATTAAGGCATATACCTTAAATCATAATATTAAGGCCCCTATAATCTAAGGTATATTCCTTAATTAAAGGGTATTGGGCTCTCTGGGTACTGTTCTCAGTTGTCAGCTGTGCAGATGGAGGCCATGCCAAAGCCCATTCTGGTTATCCTCAAGATCAGGCTGGTCAGGATAGGCTAGACGTACATAGGTTATGTAGGACCGAAATTGTGCCACGGGTTCGCCTCATCTGCGTTGAAAAACGGGTTGAAGAGCAAAGCTGTCGGCTGTGACATGGTGTTGCTGCTGGTGTCCCAGACCTGGGTTGTCAGAAGGAGTTCTGGCTAGGCGAAACATGAAGTCTCACCATGAGCAAAATGCCCATTGGTGACAAGACTCTTCAAGAACTTCTTAGTGAGCTACTCAGTTGTCGACGTCACTGTTGCGCGAAGCTGACACCCTGAAAAACTGTCGTGACCTGTTGAATGCATCCCAACGACAGTCGAGGTCGCTGGCATCGGCTCGTCCAGAAACTCGTCTAAAAATTTGCTGTCATCGCCCACTGCCGCTGCGTCAGCATCACAACTCTCCGCATGGCTCTCCACCACGGTCTGCAAGGCTTCTTCATGCACTTTGGCAGCGGCCTTTTGGATACTTTGGACAGACTCCTTCTCTGCAACCGCTTCATCAGAGGACTCAGAGAATGTCACCATGCCTAAAAATTCTAACCAACCGCCCTGCACCCTTTCATTGACCACGATGGCCAAGAGCTGTGCTCTCGTTAAGCCTCTATAGAGCCGTGAGCGTGTCTGTAAGTCTTCCAGGTGGCGCTGAATGGGAGCATCCAGCCCAACACAAACGACCACAAGCTGCTCCAAGCCATCTGCATTATCCACGGTATCGAGAACAATATTCTCCTGCTGTGCCTGCACTGAGCTTTGCACCTCAAAGCCTAGGCCACTCACCATCGACCTTTCAAGCCTCAACCCCAAATCTCAAAAGTTGGCCGCTTCATGCCACGAAACCCCCGACCCTGAACCCCAAAGTCAAATTCCGCCAGTGGCCCAAGGCACTCACAAACCTCCGATTCCCTCAAACACTGCAATCTGTTTGCAAACGTGTATACATGCGTAAATGCACCTGATATACGTAATGTATTTATGTGTATATGCATACATATGCAAAATGCAAGCGTAATGTGCACACCTATGCATGTATAGGTACATGTACATTTTAAAATATATGCCTATGTACATGTACACGTACATGAAAAATATATGTATACGTATATGTCTATGTCTATGTATATGTATACGGATATGTATATGTTTATGTCTATGTGTATGTCTATGCGCATGTAGACGTAGACGTACATGCAAATGTAAATTGCTTTTGTGTGCATAGAAAGGTCTGGGAAAAAGCTTCCCGGGAGCGGAGGCCAAGCACGCCACTGGCCGCAGATGAAAAGATGCATCCAGAAGTCATGCGACCGTAGATCCCCGCAGCCGTGCGGAGTTGGAGGTCCTCTTCAATATGGCCGCGGCGCAGGAATCCGCAACGGTGTCACGGAGAGAGTCTCCCCAGCTGACATGACGTCGCCACCGAGGCCAGGAGGACTTGCGCACCGATCACAGCAGTTGCAGCAGAAGATGCAACCAAGAGTGGGCTACATCACCTCTATCACAAACAGTGCATGTTGACGTGCTTCATCGGGAGGTTGGTTGCCAAGATGGGCAGCGATTTCCTCCTCGAGGCGCTAATGGGACTGTCGAAGGACACCGAACTGCAAATGGTGGTGGTTGTTTCGTGGCTCCTGTGCAGATTGCAATGATTGCAGATGGAGGCTATGCATTTGGGAGCGCGGTTCATTGCCACTTTGACTGGAGGCTTGAAGGACTCTGGAAGAAGGTGTCCTCGATCTCAGGACAGATGGCAGAATGACCGCCAAGGCTCTTGTGGAGCACGAGTCTTCTCGAAAAAGCGAAATCGGCGAGCTAGGGTTGCCTGAGGCAGCACCTGCTAGTGTGCATTGGGCACAGTGGGTTATGACAATGTGGGATTAACCCTGCAGTTTGCCTTCCAACCCCTGGAGGAATGGGCTCAAGGTAAGTGTAGTGGCGCCGTGACGATTGAATCTCTGCTCTGTGGAGTCTTGCTCGTAGTTCGCCTCATCCGATCCCGTGAGGAATATGCTTGAGCAAACAGTTTGTAGCTGAGTCTTCTTACAGACGTTGAATACATAGGATTACACAAGCCTTTGCCCTACTTATCTTCCCTGCCTGCAGCAGGATTTAATAGGGTTTCTGCCCCGTGAGAGCCTTCGGCCCAATACCAGTGACATAGTGCCTCCGTGACGGCATGTTTATACTGGGGCCAGGCTGCACGCATGCATATGTGCGATGAGTTTTAAGTTTGTGGCCCAGAACCCGCCACTTTGTGCAGGGCCTTTTGTTGTTGTCTTTACTGGCCTGTTAGACTGCATTGTGGCTTCCCTGCACTATCTTGGGGTTTCGCTGATTGCTGCTCCGGGTGCTATGTGGTTAGTAGCCCCAAGTACATACAAGTACATACAGCAGCCCCCTGAGGTTGACCCAAGCCCCAAGCGGGTCCAAAGTAGTCGCCGAGTACCTACAGCCCCCGTTTGAGCATCGCAGACATTTAATGATCTGCATGTTTTGTTAGGCTGCGTCCGACTTGGGTTTTGCACCTGTGAAAGGTCCAAAAAAGGAAAATGAGGTGTATGTAGATACAAATGTAGAGGTAGATGTATCAGCTTAGATCCGCATATAGATATGTGTGATTGTGTGTGTGTGCAAATATATATATATATATACATACATACATACATACATACATACATACCTACACACATACCTACATACATCTTGACATATATGTACATATACATACATATATATATATATATCTGTGTGTGTGTGTAGCTTGCTGTGCCTGCTTGCTGCGGCCGAGCAAGCGCTCCGGCAAGCAGCTGAGGGACTCCTCGAAGCTTACGAGGCGCAGGGAGCGATGAGGGAACTCCCGGCTCCTGGGAGCGGTAGGGGTTAGGGTCTGTAGGGTCTTTAGGGTCTTTAGGGCTCTTAGGGCCTTTAGGCTTTAAGGCTTTTAGGGTCTTTAGGATTTGGAGTTTAGGGCCTTTAGGGTTTAGGGCTTTTAGGGTCTTTCGGGTGAATGGCTTAGGGGTTTTTAGGGTTTAGAGCTGAGGGTCTCTAGGCTTTAGGGGTGATAATCCTGAGCCCCTGGCAGCCTTTGTCACAAAATGTTTCTTTGATGAGTTTGTGAATCTGGCGTGACTGGGGGAATCCAGGATCTGTGCATCTTCTGTGCAAAAGATGCGTGAGTCTTGTGTTTCCGGGTGTCTTGGATCTGTGAGGTCTTGTGTGAGTTATGTGTGATTCCAGTGTCACACCATCTGCCAAGGATGTGTGGAGTATGTGTGACCTGTTTGCGAAATTGACCACGCCTGGCCCAGTACTTCAGGATTCCCTCCTTCCCGCCTGGCAATTCCACCGGTTTCACTCTTCCTGAAACCTCCGGAATGACTCTTTGCCGAACCCCAGGAATCACAGATTCAGGAATGATTCTCTTTGCAAAAGGGTGATTCCCGGACCCCAGGAAAGCGAAACCCCAGTGCTTTTGTTCCGGATTCTATGGATTAAAGGCTGCTTGCTGCTAGCTCTGCATGACCTACGCATGACACATGTCGTCCAGGGGTTCACAGATGTTTCACTTGTTCTGAAGCAACACATAAAGAAAAACATTGAAATCCTTCACAAATTCTTCACAGATTCTGCAGGCCATGATTTCGGGAAGCACTCTTTCTTCACAAGGTATTCACAGATTCCGGGAATAGGAGATCACATTCTTTTCACAGAAATTTTTCTGTCAAGAAAAATTGTCGGGTGTACATGACGGGGCTTGGGAAGCTAGGCCGGGCTGCAGGATTACTGTAGGGTCGTTAATATTTAGAAGAGGGTTTTGGGGCCCGGTCTACTATTATTAGAATAATAAGGAACCCCCAAGCTACTACAGGTAATTACTAAAGCCCCTATATTACTTGGGGACGATACCAGCAAAGCCCTTCGCAAAGACCAACTCCGAAGCGCTGAGCCAATCCAAATTGATTAGGGTTCAGGGTTTAGGGTTTCGGGTTTTCGGGTTTCGGGTCTAGGGTTTGGGGGTTTAAGGTTTAGGCAGCCCAGTTGCAAGTCTTTCTCTAAGACTCGTTTGATCCTCTTGCAGATGTCGGAGTCTGGAACGAGGAGGGCGACACGCCCATGAAAGCTGATATCAGGGAAGGTCCTGGGATCTTGAGGTAGCTGAGTAGCCCAACAAACCTGAAAAATGCTTAGGCCTGCTTGTATCTTCGAGGAGACCGGGGCCAAGACTCCAACGAATCAAGGAATCGGAAAGCCGAGGGTCTTTGCCACATGCCAGAGTGCTTTGATGATATGCTCGGCATACACCTTCGGCAGGTCCTCTCCCACCTCGCTGGCCGCATCGAAACCCCATATATAACCCTGGTAGCAAGACTGGATGTGCGTAAGTGACACAAACCCAGAACGCAAGAGCATCTGAGCTGCTGGGTCGAACAGGAAGGTCTTCAGGGGC